CTCCCCGTCTGGTCTTGCCCGTTTGGACAACTGTGCAAATATAATAGAAGGTTCTTCCCAAACAAGCAAGCACCTACCTCCTCCTTCCCACCTGTCAGTCTCAGGGCCGACAGATCTTTAAAGCCCCAAAGAAGTCTTAACAAATGTGGCAGCCCTTAAAGACTGTTTCTGTCTCCTGGCCTGGGGGTGTAGACCTGTAATTCCAGCTACTTGGGAGGCCTAGGCCAGAAGATCTCAAGAGTTCAAGGGCAAAGCTGTCTCAACAAGAACATGGGGGTAAGAGGGAGCTGGTGACACAGCTCGGTGGTAGAGCACTTCCTAGGCTGTGTGATTCTGTGGATTTGATCCCCATCACAAAAAGAAAAACAACGATCAAGCCCAAACAAAACAAATGTAGCTCTTATGGCTGGATGCTCTTGGCCAGATGGTGGTGGCACACACCTTTAATCCCAGCACACGGGAGGCAGAGGCAGGCGGATCTCTGTGAGTTCCAGGACAGCCTGGTCTACAGAGCAAGTTCCAGGACAGCCTCCAAAGGAATGCAGAGAAACCCTGTCTTGAAAAAACCAAAACCAAAACCAAAACCAAAACAAACAAACAAAAAATAGGCTGGATGCTCTCATTGCCTTCTTATTGATCAAGTTTCTACCTCTCATGGTCCTGGCCCTGAGCCCTGGAGTACAGTGTGTTATAACTTCATGATTCTTTCAGTGTGTTGCCTGGAACAAAATGCAATGCATGTTCAAGTCACATGCTACTGTCTGCCTGCTTCTCCCCCTTGCTGGTGCAACCTGGAATCACCTGCTTATTTAGCGTATGTTATTGATTTTTTTAAGTTTATCATTAACCAGTGCCTATAAATGGCATCTCCCCAGTTATCAATATGCATACAGTTGCTAAGCCACAGGTCCCATATCAGTAGTCACCCATTAGACCTTAGATGTAGAGATTTCAGTTTGTTTTTGAGCAGTTAGCTTTATTATCCTGTGGGGAAATTAATTTTTTTACATATAGCCGAGAGACCTCTTACAGTGTCAGGGATAAATTGAGAATCTGTGCCACAGCAGTTTCTTTAAATTTTCTGTATTTTATTACTAAATTTAATTTAATTTTTTTTAGACAAGGTCTCATTATGTAGCACTGCCTAGCTGGGACTTGCTGAGCTCCACCTACCTTTGTCTCCCAAGTGCTGGGATTAAAGGCATGAGCTACCACATCTGACTTAACTGGGTTTCTGAGACGGGGTCTTACTGTATAGTCCAGGCTGGCCTTGAATTTATAATTTGTCCCCGACTGCTGGAGTTTTAGGGTGAGCCACCACACCCTGGCCACAGTGGTTTTATGGTGGGTTGGGACTGGGGTGTTTATCATGTCGTTGTCGTCCTGTTTTGTCTCTGCCTTTAGTAACATTCCCAGTTCACACACAAGGTTCTGTTTAGACGTGTTGGGTGTGTTGGAAGAGACTAGAAATAGTTGATGTTCACATAACTAATTATATCCTTTGATTGGATCATCAGAGCTACACTGGAGCCCCAGTCTGCACTTCCCACTCTGCATTTTGCATTTGCAAACTAAGATCAGAGGAAAGGAAATTGTACAGTTTCCAAGCAGATGGTGACAGAGGCCCAGGCTTCCTGGCATGCACATCAACTTATTATTAGCTTTTGCTGTGTGACAATGAGGTTTTCGTCTTTCTACATCAATGCAGGTTTTCTTTCCTAGTCCACTGTGAGTTTACCGCCCCCAGATGTGCTTGAATTTCTACATCACATGAGTAAGTGGAATCCTTAGACTCTCAGGGGAGCCTGTGGAAGTGGAGCAGGGAGGCTCCTCCCTGGGGTTGCAGGCACTGCTTGGATCGGATGTGCTTTATCTACACCAAAAGTCATATTGAGGCTCCATCCCCAAGATGATGGTGTTGAGAAATGTTGGGGTCTTTAAGAGACCCACGGGACTCTACTCTCAAGGGGGGGATCGATGTAATTGCCCAGCAAGTAGGTTAGTAGCTGTGGGAACAGACAGTTAGGAAGTGAGCATGGCTCCTCCCCTTGGTCTCTTCTCACCTTGTGATCTCCCCACTCTTGTGACCGCTCTTCCTCACTTGCCCTTGGGTTTATGGTTTTCTGCCATTCCTAAAGCAGTGTGAGACCCTTGAGGGAAGCCAGTAGATACTTGAACGCTCAGAACTGTGAGCTCATTTATCTTTACCTCCCCCCTCCCTCCCTCCTTCCCCCCTTCTAAAAAAGATTATTTATATTATGCTTGAGTGCTCTATCTGCATGTACATCTCTATGCCAGAAGAGGACATCAGATCCCACTAGAGATGGTTGTGAGACACAATGTGGTTGCTGGGAATTGAACTTGGGACCTCTGGAAGATCAGCCTGTACTCTCAACCACTGAACCATCTCTCCAGTCCCCACTTACTTCTTAATAACGTACCTAGCCTCAGATAGTTTGTTATGGTGACAGAAAGTGGACTGAGTCAGGCCCTTTACTGACTTTCTACTATGCAGCTCCCTTGTGAGGATGCACACAGATCCTTTCCTGACTTGCAGTTGGTAGAAGATGTGTCCCTGGATCGCTCTTGTGTTGCAGGCAGGGCTGCTTTTCAGGCATCCCCAGAGGGAGCCCTGAGCAGAGACACATCCTCTGGGCAGCTGGTGTTGGGGTGGCAGTTGGAGAGCCAGCTTCTCACCCTGAGGTAGTGTCTCAGAGCCAGGCTGGTGTCTGCATGCTGGGGGAGAGCCTGATGGAGAAGGGATGGATTCTCTTCATCATTTTCATTGCTAATGTACTTCCGCATCCTCATTTGACTGCAGATTCTTGAAGGATAGGGAGTTGACTCTTTTCCCTTTAGTTCCCACAGCACCTGGCACTGTCATCAGCAGACATTTCCACACCAATGGACAGTCAGGAGGGAGATGTGCTTCCGGCCTTGCTACTGCTTAGCAGGAGCTGAACAAGTTCCTCTATCTTTGGGGGAGAGTCTTCATCTATGCAATGAGAGACTTGAGGTGACCTGTGAGGGCTCCTTAGCACTGGGCTAGGATTTGGGGGCTTCCACAACTTTCACCTGGCTGAGAGAAGTCCTCTCCTCCTCTCTTCCCCAGAGCCACGTGGAGAGGACACATCCTCACCATCCCTCATCAGTACAGAACAGGGAGGGTTACTTCTTTCACCATCTTTTAAACGTGAACAAATCCATAAAAAATTTAAGAGAAGGCATAGGGCAGGAAAGGTGTGACACTGTCCTCTCCATCATGAAAGTCATAGCCAACACTCCTATAACAAGACAGGTTAATAAAGGTGCAAGTGTTTATTTAGTCAACATTTTGTGTGACCGGGAGTCTTCAGAGAAGAATATGGAAGGACTGGGGAACAGTCCACCTTGAGCTCACATTCCCATTTATCTTCTCTGATTTGCTGAAGTATGGGCAGCTGTGTGGAAAGGCTGGTCACAGAGTGTGTGGTAGTAGAAGCCAACTGAGCTACAGCCCACCAGTCTGGCCACTCAAATCCTTTCTGCCTCTACGTGCAATTTTTCCTCCTTCCAGGACAGGACTAAGAAGGCAGAAGGGACAGAATGGCCATTTTAGTTTTCACAGCTCTTTGCAGAATGGGGAAGAATTCTGGTTTTTGAGATTCACTTCAGGGACAAAGGTTGGCAAGGAGACACAGGACAGGCGAAGGTCGACAGACTTTGCTGTTGAGGCAGTTTCTGTGGCCTTCAGGTCCCCTTTAGTCCAAAGTGCTTGGCATGCCAAAGCTGCACCTTTTGTACAGTACTTTGGGATATCATTTTATGAGCCCCAACACAGCATTGTGGAGAGGAGCTACTGAGACAAAGATGGGGTGTCTCATGGTCTCTCCTGCTCCTATTCCTGTTCCTCTGAGCTGTGGTCAGTCAACATATTCCAGCACTCAGGTTGGTGGCAAGAAAAGAGCCCAGGGTGAGGAAATGAGCCTTCCTGATCACTCTGTCCTAGCCCCATCCCCGTGGCTGTGATGAAAGGCCCTGATGCAAACAAACAGAGGGCAGAAAGGGTTTGTTTTCAGCTTATAATTTTAGGTTATAGTTCATTTATTTCAGGGATGCCAAGGTGGTGGAAACTTGAAATAGTTGATTGCATCCACAGTCAAGGGTAAAATGAAATGAATGCAGACAGGATCACTTGCTTGTTTGTGCTCAGCTAGATTTTTCTAGGGGATGGTGTTGCCCATAGTGGGCAGTGTCTTCCCACATCAGCTACTTAATTAAGACAGTTCCTTGACAGACATCATCAGAGGCCAACCTGATCTAGTCAGACCTTCATTGAGATCCTCTTTGTAGGTGATTGTAGGTTGTGTCAAGGTGACAATTAAAATTAATCATCACAGCTTCCAAAAAGTAGGAGATGGGATGAGCTCATGGTAGGAAGGAGGGGGTTGTTTGTGGTCTGGGACCCTGTGGAGCTGGAGCAGAATTTGGTGATCCAGAGGGGATTTTATGACTACAATCATGCTCTCTGCTGAAGGCAGAGGATAAAAAGGACACCCAAAGAAATATCCAGGCTTATGTCACCTGAGAGCTCGCTCTTGGGAAAGGTGTGTGATTTAACTACTGTCTGAGGTCCAAGAGATAAGGTCAGAGGAGGGGGGTGAACCCAACCAGAAGACCAGGGAAGGCTTCCTGGAAGTGCACACTTGCATTACCCTGCCTGGCATTGCCTTACCTATTCGTTGCCCAGGTGCCCTAAGATGAATTTAGACATTTATGAGTGTGACACCATGTGGGAAGGTGGGGAGGCAGAGGCCAAGCAGGTCCAGTCTGCCCTGTGGACTTCGTGCCTCTTGCATTCTCCTGGGTTGATACTGGGCACTCCAGACTCACTCCGTATACAGTGCATCTGTCGCTGAGAGCAGCTGTGACAATGGCTACCTCTGTGTTCGAGCCCACCCCACACCTGGAGATGAAAGCCCCAGTTCCTGGAGGTCTTAGCACTGCCTCTGTCCCCCCAGCTACCATGTCTACCCAGAGACTTCGGAATGAAGACTATCATGACTACAGTTCCACTGACGTGAGCCCTGAAGAAAGCCCATCTGAAGGCCTTGGTAACTTCTCTCCCGGCTCCTACCAACGCTTAGGGGAGAGCGGTAACATGACGTGAGTACTTATGACCTCCTGCCATGGAGTGGACTTTCCTGTCCCCAAGTCTCCCTTGGAGCAGTTTGTGCCTCCATCTTCCCATTTTACATACCCTGCTTGACAGATGAAAGCAGGCTATCTACCAGCAGGACCAGCAAGGGGCTCTGCCCCTGTCTAGTCATTTCCTATTCCAAAAGGCTGGTGGCCAGGAAGAGCTTTGACTTAAAAGCCTCTAGAGGGATAATCTCTTGGGCTAGAACCAAGTGTGAGATACCTCCTGGTCCCATTAGTGCCTCCTTGGCAGAGCCTCCTGGGACTCCTGTCCCATCACCAGGCTGAAGAAGTAGAGCGAGGGAGTGGCAGCTGCATTTAAGAAGCCTCCAGAGTTGGTAGGGAAGAGAATCCACTCTGTTCCTTAAGGAGGCTGCTGTCTTGAGCCCGAAAGCTGCAACTCTCTCATCTTTGGCCCTCTTTGGTTCTCAATTTCTCCAGATATAAGGACCGGTTGAGAAAACTGAGCTGGCTGTGGGACATTTACTCCTTGAACTGCAAACTTCAGGGGGGTCCCTGACCCTTTTCAAGGTCCCAGGACCCTGTCCTTGGTAGCCCTGTCATTTATCCCTAGTCTCAGCTGTCACCCTTCCTGTGTTCCCTAGTGGGTTGGATGTGACTTACTGAAGGCTGCATTGCGCCTTAGTGTATTGCTACAGGCCTCCACTCTCCATGACTACCAAGGGGACTATGGAAGTTGTGGGGACATGCCCTCTGCTTGCACTCTTTCCGAAGGGACATTTCCCCCAGTGAACTGAGGTGGGCATGGAAAGAGGTCTTCACATGACTGGCTTCTTGCCACTCCTAACACAAAGATTCTGGCTTTTAGCTTATCTCCCACACAACATACTGTTATAGATTCCTGCTTTATTTGCAGATTTAGCTGGTGGAAAAGATTGCTTAAGGTGCTGCTGGTGGCAGCCAGGACCTCCTTCCTTTCTTCCCTTTGGCCTCATCTGCCTCACTGATGTCTCCCAGGGAGAAGTAAATCCCTTCAGGGTTGTGAAATACTTCTTCCAACCATCAGCTTGTTTGCACTTTCAGTGCACACTCTAAATTTTCACTTTTACAGAGACCTTTTCTGAAACGCAAGACCAGCTGGCTGGTTTTTCCAGGTCAGCCATTCAAGGATGCATGCCTGGACTGTCCTCAGGGTTGTTTTTATCACTTTCTCTGGCTTCTTGGAGATCAAGCCAAGCAGATAATTCCCCGCTGCAGCTTGTGCTTGGACATTTTCTAAGGTACAGGGGCAAGTATTCATTTGGGTCTTAGAGTATTGGTCACTCCAACCTGGGGCCAGAATCCACCCAGGCATTTATTCAGGAAACGTGCCAGGTGGGTCAAGGCTGATTGGGGGAACCATTGTTTATCCCTCCTAGGTGGTGTAAGGGACCTAATTTGAAGCCTTTACACTTCCTTGTTTTCTACTTTATTAAGGAGCAAAGTACCCTGGAAGAGCTGCTTAACCACACCCGACTCTTCTAGAAGTTAAAAGACCAGTTAAAAGCCCAAAATAATGAGTGCAATAAAATAGAGACCTTAGGCATTTCTGTGACAGAGTGTGCGGGATTTCCCCTGGTGCCATAGAGTTATTGACAGCACTGACGCCAGCCTCTGTTAATGCTGTAGGGATTACACACAGTAGGACAGTTTACACACAGTAGGGCACATTTTCCTTTTGTTGCCCTGTTGAGTACTTAGTAACAGCTCCCTATCCCACCTCAGTGGTGCTTCCCTGGGCCAGTAGGTTGAGACACCAGCTAGCTTCCTCTTGGTCTTTGTTGACTTGGAACAACCATTTGCCAGACATGGTCTGCAGAGCTTTTGGGCTCCCAAGGCTGTCTCTCTTCCTAAAAGTGCTAAGCTGTCATTTTCCTTTCATTGTGTTCACATGTGCGCGAGGACGCAGGAATAGTGTGTGTCTGCAGCTTCCTCCCCCTCCACACCCACATACCTACATTATCCCAGCCACATGTGAGCAGAAGGAAAAGGCCAGCTTCTCGTCAGATTGTCCTTGACAAGGGCTGGGGCTGTAGCTTTCCTAGCATGTGCTGTGCCTGGGTCTCATTCCCAGCAACACATAAGCTCAGTGTGGTGGCACTTGGGAGTTGGAGGCCAGAGGATCAGAAGTTCAAGGTCATCCTGGACTACATAGAGAGTTCAAGGCCAGCTTGGGATGCATGAGACCCTGTCTCCAGTAACCAAAAATGTCCTTGATGAGATAGTGAAATTATTAATTCTTATTAAATTGCAACCCTTAGCATGGGTCTCTTAGTAGTCGCTATAAAAAGTACCAGACAACAGAGTGTGAGTATTGGCAGTTGCCAACTAGTTAAACTAACTGGAGGTTTTGTTCATTTTTTTAAATAGAAAAGGTTTATTTTACTAGAAAGAACAACCAGCTAACTAGGTTTTTCAGACCCTAATATTTAGCATCTCCTTTGAAAATGAAAGAAACAAACCCATTAACTCAAGAAAACCCATCAACAATGCTTTTGTGGCTCACATGCAATTTGAGCTTTCAAGCAAAATTAGAAAAAACAAACAAACAAGCAGAACATCCAAGCCTTGTATCCAGCACTGTGCTCTTACAAATGCTTTCCCTGGGGCACTGACAAATGCTTTCCTGTGAGGTCAAAGCATGGCTTTGAGCTGATATAGTGAAAGAGGTTAGAATTTGGAAGCTCCACATATGTTAGGGAATTGTTAGTGAGGGTCCCTGTAGACAGCTACAAGGAATCATGGGAGAGTCAGAGTCCACATTGCAGCTAACTGATAAAGAACCTGTGCATTTCATTTTGGAGTACTGTCACAGAAGAATAGCCATAGATGAAGAGGCAGATAAAATGTTCTTTCCAGCTATGTGTCTAGGGAGCACATTTTTTCATAGACTTTCACCCAGCTGTCTTCTGTTAGATGAGACATTTAGGAGCTATTTTAAACAGTGATGGGGGAAATGGTGCTGGAGCTGAAGCTCACTAGTTAAGAGTGTTTGTTGCCCTTGCAGAGGACCTGGAGTTCTGGTCCCAGCACCCACGTTGGGCAGCTCACAACTTCCTCTAACTCCAGCTTTAGGGGACCTCATACCCTCTTTTGGCCTTTGAGGATACTCTCACGTGTGTGTGTGTGTGTGTGTGTGTGTGTGTGTGTGTGTGAGAGTATGCATGTTTGCTCTTACACATACACATAAATAAGTTTTAAAATGGAGATCTAGATGGTTGCTGCTCCTCCAGGGAACCCAAGTTTGATGCTCAGCACCCACATGGTGGCTCCGCTGTCCATAACTCCAGTCCCAGGAGGTCTGATGTTCCCTATGTTACCTTCTGGCTTGTGAGGGCACTACACTTATGTGGTTCACAGACATGCATGCAGACAAAACACCCATACACATAAACTAAAAAATTAATTCCCATATTTAGCTTTAATCATTAAACTATTAGTATCTATTAGACTTACTATTATCTTAAATTATAAATTTAAAAATTTGAGCTTTAGTAATATATATAATGTATCTGCAGATAGAACCTACATAAACAAAGATATCAGGGGTCCTCAATTCATCAGAGAATAAAAGAGGACCTGAGGGGAAGAAACACCTAAAAGCTACTGACAGCACAAAGGAAAACCAGAGGGGCCTGGCAGGTTTCTCCCTTCTGTCTTCAGAAGCTAACTCACCCTATGGCTAGAATGTCACAGCCTTGGAGGTGATGCCCACCTGGTGTTGAGGGGACATCATCCTGGGCAATTTTGACCCTTGACCTAGAATCCTGATGTTTCTGAACTGAGGGGACTTCAGAGTCACCTGCCCTGGCCCCACTCCTTCACTGTTCAGGTGAGGTAAGAGTTCCCAGAGTGGAAGGCAATGACCACACAAAGTGACAGACTGCTAAGTCAGGGCCAGGAGGCCCAGCGCAGAGGCATTTTGGGAAGGCGTCATGGTGGAGGGAGGGTGTGGTACAGACTTACCTTTGCACTTAAATGGGTTAAACATTTGTTTGCCAAGATAGAGATTTAACAGGATTGATATCTCCTGGCTACTGGCGGCTGATAATATGGCTGGACACTTGCAGGACTCTGGGCCGTGGCCCCAGAGCACAGGGGCACATCTCTCCTGGGAGTCAAGGGCCATTTCTTGATGTTCCATCCTGTAGATGCCAGAACGGCAGGTAGATCAGATGACCTTTCCGGTAGAGATGAGGGAATGGCCTTTGTGGGCAACAAGTGCTGTTGGCTTCTGACTTCTGCCAAACACAGGTTTGTGTGCAAGTGCCAGTTTTGAGGGAGCTTGAGGGCCGTTTACGCGAAAGCGATTTTTATGTCCAGGGCCAAGTCTTGAGTGATTGAAGGCACCTCACTTGAGCTGTTCCCTACTCTGTTGTGGGGAATAAAGGCAAAGAAAGGTCATGACCGGCACACTCCTGTGTAGCCTGGGGTGAATCTGTCTTCCCTACAGAAGGGGGACTCCTGACTCACCTCGTGTAATCCTCGTTTCTCAGCAGGGTCTGCATCTTCCCCTCGCCTGTGGCAGTGACCCCGCCCAGTCACACTCACACTCCACCTTGTGGCCTCAGGTCTCTGCCCTCCACTCACCTGCCTCAATTCTCCTGGGCTGTGTCCCCTCAGCCCTCCATCTCTTGTTTCCCTTGAGATATTGATTACATGTCTCCAGAGGCTGGCTTTCACATCTGACTCATCCACATCCACAGAAGTGTTTGTTGACTGAAAAAAAGTGAATGAGAGCACATGAGGGGCTTTATTTATATAAGGCATAAGACAATGGGGCAGTCTGCACAAATCTAGAGGGACCCCTGGGGCAAACCAGGGACCCACTGAAGAGGGCTCCTCTAGTCCTGGGCCCACAGTAGCAGCTGGCTTCTATTTCTTCAGATACAAAGTCCAATAGGAACTTTTTGTTGTTGTTTTGAGACAAGGTCTCTCTGTTTAGTCCTCACTGTCCTGGGACTTATGTAGACCAGGGCTGGCCTTGAACTCACAGAGATTCTCCTGCCTCTGCCTCTGCGTCCCAAGTGCTAGGATTAAAGGCATGTGCCACCATGCCTGGCCTAGTAGGAATGTTGAGTCCCTCATGGTATTGTAGAGGGATTGGACTTTATTTTATTTAGTTAGTTTTTGTTTGTTTTTTGTTTTTAAGACAGAGATTCACTATATAGGCCTGGCTGGCCTGGAGCTGGCTGTGCGGATCAAGCTAACTTTGAACTCTTGAAGACCCACCAGACTCTGCCTCCTAAATGCTGGGATTAAATACTGTCACCATCACACCCAGCTTGGACTTTACTTTTTGATTACCCCTGTTTTTCCCACACTGAGGTCTACCCTTCATAGTTACATATTGTCATCCTCTGTGGCATTTTGGGATTTGTCAGGGAGGGTGGTTCACTCAGTGGTCAAATCCAGTCCTGAATATAGCCAGAAAAGATGGAATGCCTAGAGAGAGCCTCCATTATCCCTCTGGACCAGCTTCTAAGAGAAGAGGGCTCAGGGAGTGCTTTCCTGGGAGGCCTGCTCCTTGGAGAAGTTGGTCCCTCATCTATGAAATAAAACATCCCAAGACTGGGAGATCAGATAAGATAATGTGCATAGGCTCTTTGTGCTGAGGCCATGCGGATAAACATTGACCTGCATTGTAACTAATGCTTCCCAATTGGCCTTCCTACCACAGATGGTTCCAGACCTTGATCCACCTGCTAAAAGGCAACATTGGCACCGGACTCCTGGGGCTGCCACTGGCAGTGAAAAATGCAGGCCTCTTGGTAAGGGTTTTAGACATCCGTGCATCAAAAGCTGTGCATTAGGGCTCTCTGGGTGCCAGGCCCTTCCTAGGCTCTGAGCCTGGGGAATGACTTTAGCTAACAGCCCTGCCCTCCCTTTGACTCACCACACACAGTCTGCTTGCCCATCACCGTGGTTTCAGAGATGCTGGCATCCAAGTGCTGATCTTACTGATGGCCCTCAGGATAACCTTCCCTCCTGCATCCCAGAGCCCACCAGGAACTTCTGCCCTGTGGATCCTCTGACCACAAGATTAAGATTAACTGTCTCCAGGACTGAGGACACACACAGATCCAGTCTCCTGGATCATATCTCTCTCTCCTGCCAGCCAGAGCTCTGTCCCCAGAAGTGCCTTGATAGCATTTTATCATCTGCACATGTGGTCTCTTTTGGGCTTTCTCCTAATTCTGTCTGCTTCTCTCTCTCTTTTTTTTTTTTTTTTTTGTCTGCAACCTCGGTCCCTAGATGGGTTCTCTCAGCCTGCTGGTGATTGGCATCGTGGCCGTGCACTGCATGGGTATCCTGGTGAAGTGTGCTCGTCACTTGTGCCGCAGGTGAGAGCCCTGGGCCACTTCCTGAGGGGTAGAGATTGCCAGCATGGTCCTTTGTTAGCCTGAAAGTGGGTTAGACAGCTCATCTGCGTTCGTCACCTAGCTGGGGGTGGTTGCTGTGGCTGTGATGCGCCTTCCCCTGCTTATTACTGTTTGTTTTTTAAAACCTTTTTTTTTCGGTTCATCTGTTAATTTACAAATGTCCAACGGGCAGGGACCACATTCTAATTTTTGTGCTTGTTAGTTTATACCACTCCCAGATGCTTTGTGGATTGTGATGAGGATCCCATGCCATTTACTTAATACCTGTGACCCAGGGATTGGAAGAGGGCTCATTTGGTAAAATGCTTAAGGTGTAGGCATGGGCATCTGAGTTCAGAAACCCAGTAACCATGTTACAAAAACACAAAGAAGCTGGATGCAGAAGTGAGCTCCTGTGGTCGCTGTACTAGAGAGGCAGGGACAGGAAGTTCCTGAGGCTTCCTGGACAGCCATTCTGATAGTGGGCAAGCTCTGGGTTAAGGAAGACACCCTGTCTCAAAAAGTAAAATGGTAGAGAGTGACTGGGAAAGAGACACCCAGCATCCACATCTGGCCTCCATGTATGTGTGCACCTGTACACACGTGAACATGTATGCCCATGCATACACATACGTACAGGCCCACCACACGTGGTCCTTGAAAGGCTCAAAGGTGCCCTAGGGTGACAGGTGGAGAACTGGCCCCTGACTCAGTGTCTCCATTTGTTCTTTTACTGTCATTGTCTAACCCATACATTCTGCTTTTCCTATATCTCACCCCCACGCCCCAGAATGAACAAGCCCTTTTTGGACTATGGGGACACAGTGATGTACGGACTAGAATCCAGCCCCAGCGCCTGGATCCGGAGCCACTCCCACTGGGGAAGGTAACCGACTTCCCTGTTCCTCTTGGCCACAGCTCTCAACATTGGGACCAGAGACAAAAGGGTGATGTGGGGATAGTGTCCGGAATGGAGGGTGGTTTTGGGGTTAGCTTGACAAATGGTAGGCCGTGAGCCCAGCCTTCTTTGGGCCTCAGTTTCCTCATATTTAATACATGGTGCCTGACCTGAAGGGCCTCCGAAGTCTGTGAGTACTCTGAATTGTTCAACAGATGTATTTATGCTGTCTTTCATAAGTGACACAAAAATGGTTCTCGCTTAGGGAAGGGGCTTTCCTGATATAAATTACATTGTCCCCACCCTGCATGGGCTTATGACCTTTGTAGGGTGACAGATGCTTGGGAAGGGAAGAGAAGTCTAGAACAAGACAAGAGGTCAGCAACAGAGCATGGATAACAGGCCCCAGGATGGAGTCTGGCTGTGTGGGATGAAGGGTGTGGGTGGTGAGGGCAATGTGCAGAGCAGGTAGGGAGCTTTGGGGAATTTCTCCTGACTTCAGGAGCCTGGAGGGAAACAACCCACTTTTTGTTCCTGTCTAGATGTAGAGAATTCACATTGTCAAGAGCCTGAATACTACTTTGGATTTAGTGAAGAGGGCGCTTGCTGTCAGTATAGCTCACCCTTTCTTCTCCTCCCCTCTTTCCTTCCTTCCTTTCCTCTCTCTCTTTCTTTGGCAAAATCATCTGTTGAGGAGCAGCCAGGTTTCTGAGTGTCCACCATTGTTTGTCTGTCTGTCCCTTCCTCCCTTTTCTCTATTCTCCCTCACACCCTCCCTTTTCTCATAGGAAGAACATTGTTTGCACTGGGCAAGAGGACACAGTTTGAAAAATAGAATTAAATACTGGCCTTATTCCAGTAGCATGGGTACCCTTCTGGTTCTTCTGGAACTTTCTGTATACATATAGACATGCACATGCATTTACCTTTTGGGGGGGGTGGGCTCTTCCTGTGTGTGCTGTCTGAAAACTTGCTTTTTCTCCTTTGATGCCTTGGGTAGTTTCCTCCAGAAATGGTTCCAGATCTGACCCATTCTTTCTAATTGCTCTGTTATGCTCCATTAAGAACGGTCTGCAGCCCTGTTCATCTCGCTGGGTTTTCAGATCGTCACCAGCTGTGGCCGCGATACTTCAGCCCAAGGACTGCTCTGGCCCAGCCTGCGCAGTTACCTGCAACTGGATCAGTTCTTGGGTCCTGGTTGTAGGAGGAGGCTGAGAAGAGCCTGATTCCTGCTCTTTCCTGCCAAGGGCTCTTTGTAGCTTTAGGAGAGAAGATAAGTTCAGAGGGTGGGCAGAAGAGGGTCAGGGGCCGGGCTGTGCTCTGGTGATGGCGGAGCTCATGCTTAAGACGAGGGAGGGAAAGAATTTGCAGAGTATAGAAAGCCTGGCACACACCCTCCCCCAAACTCTGTGCTGGTGACACTGGCATACTGTGTCCTCTTACCACAGCGTGTCCCTACCACCTGCTGCTCAGACGGTCATCTCCCGGGAAACCTTCGGATCTGATGGTCTTTGTACTCCTCTGTTCCCTCTGCAGGCACATCGTGGGCTTCTTCCTCGTTGTCACTCAGCTGGGATTCTGCTGTGTCTACTTTGTGTTTCTGGCTGAAAATTTTAAACAGGTAGAGTTCTTCTGAAAAACAGGGGAGGGTGAGAATCAAGTGGAGATTTTGTTTAAGGCTCCTCCCAAGCCAAAATGTGTGGGTTTAAACCTTGGGTGTTGGATTCTCCTCTGAAAGCCTGTGGTGTAAAGAGACTTTGATTTGCCTTGTCTGTGTTGCCATCAGCTGGCTCAAGGTCTCCACTTGACTCTACTTGGCTGACATCATCCCTACACAAGGAGGAGATGCTCATCAAGGGGTGGTCTTGGGTAGCTTTTGTAATCCTTGGCAGCAGGCTGGAGGAAGCCGTGGTAGGTGGCGCCGTCTAGTGTTATCCTGTGGAAGCCTTTAGTAATGGACCTTTATTTGTAGAGTGCACAGCTCTGTTGAGGCTGCTCGGCAGGCTTAGGTGTCAGGATCCCTCAGCCCTTGACAGAAGCTAGGGTTGTATCTCTCAGACATGGGGTGTCTGAAATCCTTCACCCTAAAGGCTGTGTTATTGGAGTTAGGGTCAGAGCCTGTCCCCTAGCTCTCTAATAAGTCAGGTGAAGCCACCTGTGCTGAAAATAAGTTAATTAAAAGAGTGGAATTGAAGATGAAGAGCAGACAGATTCTTACTCAGTATGGCCTCACTGGGAGGAAGGAGGATCCATGGATCCCCACTAAGTGCATCTTCATGGTCCTGGCAGGAGATTAAATAGAGGGAAAGAGATAAGTATAAATAAGGAGCCTTGGCCAAAGTGTGGTCCTGTTGTCACTGGCCCATCATTGTCCATGCTCCAGTCTCTCCTGCAAGGTTGTTTGATAGGTCGTCTTGTTGGCACTGTGTGGAGTCCCTTCCCTTTTCCAGCAGGCTAGTTCCCGGCCTGGCTGGCACCAGGGCCCCTCCTGTTCTCAGCATAACATTCCTGGGGGGAATCCCAGTTGCCTAGGGTTCCAGAGTCCAGATAGCCAGAATGAGGGACACAATTGTTTCTTTAGAGTGTCCCTCTTCATTTCAAAGGCATGCCAGTTACAATTGGATCAGGGCCTGCCGGCTTTCCTCTCTGCTTCCTGAACACCAGCAGGAATGCTTAGGATCAGAATGGGAAGAATTGACCATGAAATTTACCTCATCTGTCTCCCACACCCTTCTGTCTCTTGTGAAACATGAACAAACCCAATGCAGATTATTTGTAGCAAGGAAGACTCAGGAAGGTTCCTCAGCCATAGGTACCTAGATAAGATGCCGAGTTCACACACCTGATCCTCTGTCAGGTCCCCTTACAGCTGGATACCCATGGGCTCTGTCACCGAAGGCTTTCCTCCTTTCTTGTCCTCCCAGGTGATAGAGGCGGCCAACGGGACCACCACCAACTGCCAAAACAATGAGACTGTGGTCCTGATGCCCACCATGGACTCTCGACTCTACATGCTCTCCTTCCTGCCCTTCCTGGTGCTGCTGACTTTCATCAGGAGCCTGCGCATACTGTCCATCTTCTCCCTGCTGGCCAACGTCAGCATGCTGGTCAGCCTGATCACAATCTACCAGTTCATCGTCCAGGTACAGGCCAGGCCCTTCCCCATCCCGAGGAATATGAGAAATCAAATGGAGTGGTCACTACTTACACTCAGCATATTTAGATTAGATGTTGCACAGTTTCCTGAGGAGATGGGAACAAATGTTTTCTCCAGATAGGCCTCCAGTGACAGACCAAAGAAATTATCTCACCTAGGTCTTTCAAGCTATATATTTTGTGACATTTTTCTTGAGCTTTTATGTTATCGGTATTGTTGTAGAGTTGAACTTGTGTTTATAGTTTGCAAGCGTCTTTGTCTAGGGAATGTAGATCAGCATCGTTAGCACCAGTCTCTCGGTTGATGGAATGGTGGCTTGTCCTATCCACCCGTCTCAGTCACACCGCACCCACAGCTGTGGACTGTGACACTCCCTACTCACAGCTCCACCGACTGATAGGTAAACCTGGTAGCTGTCAGTCACTAACCCATGGGTAGCACTTGTTTCCAGTGTCTTTTCATCTGTGACTCAGGAGTAATTACTGGGCGATCTTGTGCTCGGGTCTCATTTTAGAGCAGAGATACCTATTTGTCTATACCCTGCATATTAAAATGCTTATTTTTTTCAGAGCCAAATTTTAAAAATTAAAATTATACATATATGTGTACATGAGTACAGGTGCTATAGAGGTCACAAGAGGGTGTCAGATCCTCTTGGAGTCACATAGTAGTAGTAAGGCACTCAGTATAGATGCTGGGAATTGAACCTGGGTCTTCTGAAAGAGCAGTATGTGCTCTTAACAGCTGAGCCACCCTCACCCCCAGCTTTGACTTCTGTGTTTAGAAAAAATCATTTTGCTATCTTTCATCAGCATTCCTCAACATTCTTGTGCTGCTTGATAGTTTTAAAGTGCTCGGTCTAATTGACGGGGGGAAAAAAATAAGGTGGGGGAGGAAGAGACTAGTCTAGAAATCACGTCTTCCATCTTTATCTCTGTGGATGTTTGCATAGTTGTATCACGATTATTATATAACTTTGGGGTTACAGTTGGATTTTTGTTTGTTTGTTTTAGACCAGGTAGCCCAGACTGGCCTCAAGCTCACTATATATTGTAGGTTGACCTTGAACTCCTGATCTTCCTGCCTCAGCCTCCTGGACCTAATGCAATAATATTTCCTCAATATTATTTCATAGTCAGTTTTCCATGTTCTTTACTATCTCACATACAGAGTCCAAACTGACTTCAAATCCCTGCCTCAGCCTCCTACTAAAGTGCTGGCTTTACAGGCATGCACTCCCATGGCTGCCTTTAGCTTTTACTTTTTATATAGTGTGCAATATTCTGTGATATGTTTGGCATATGGTTAATTGGTCTCTTGGAGTATTTAAGATGATTTTCCATTTCTTTGCTAAGTAGCTTTGCTCAGTTCTTCTGTCTCTTGAGTTTCTTCTTTTATATAAAATGTGTGGGGATGATATCACCTAGGGAAAGAGTGGGGCTTATGCAGGCAGCAGCATGTGAGCAGTTATGGTATACTGGGCAGATCTTTATCCATCAGCATGTGAGCAGTTATGGTATACTGGGCAGATCTTTATCCATCAGCATGTGAGCAGTTATGGTATACTGGGCAGATCTTTATCCAAAGCATGGAAGGGCTTCCCAGCCTGAAGGCAGAGAAAGCTTGACTGTTCCAGCTTGATTGTGAGTTAGTGTCTTCCTTTTTTTTTTTTTTTTTTAATCTTGGATTTAGGAGGAGGGCCTCAATTTGTGATTCAAATCCCGAATCTCTGAGTAGTCCTTGGCTTTGTTCGTCTTTTCCAGAGGATCCCGGACCCCCACAGCCTCCCCTTGGTGGCTCCATGGAAGACCTACCCTCTGTTCTTTGGCACTGCAGTTTTTGCTTTTGAAGGCATCGGCGTGGTAAGAGGGGCACTGTGGATTGGGCCTTAGTGCTCTCTGGCACCGCAGTGTCCCCACTGAAGTTATCTCTTGAGCTGGATATGGTGGCATGTGCCCATTATCACAGCACTTGGGAGATGGGGACAGGGAGGATCAGGAGTTTAGGGCATCACTGTCTACATAGCTAGCTGGAGGCTAGCCTACGTTCAGGAGATCCTTCTCCTCCCCCAACAAAAAAGTTAAAGAAGGGAAGCTAATGCTTAGAAAAACAGGCTGGAGACTGCAGTCTCAAGACAAGTGTCAGAGTCATGCTGGGGGCCACACTGCTGTGAGATAAAGGGCCTCTGACTTCTCACTCCCCTCACTCCTGGTTAGACAGTGGTTCTGAAGCCCTTTGTGTGCCTGAGAGCATTGCTGCAGATAGAGTAATGATTTTATTGTGCACTGAAGGAGAATATACTTGGGGGTCTGGCAAGAAAGATTCTGTTTTTTTTTTTTAAAGATGCTCTGTGTGTGTGTTCATGTGCATGTGCTCACATGTGTATGCGTGCGCACGCATGGGTGTGCACTTTTGTGTTTGGAGGCCAGAAGTCAACATCAGATGTCTCTCTCTGGCACTGTTTGTTTTTGGACACGATGTCTCCCACTGAATCTAGAATTTTCTGCCTCAGCTAGACTGTTGTATGGTCAGTGAGGTCCGTTGATCAGCCTGTGCTCCCACCCTACCTCACCTCTGCCAGGTACTGGGGTTACAGATTCATGTCACCATACCTAACTTTTTTGTGAGTTCTGGGCATCTGAACTCAGGTTTTCATTTGTACACAGCAAGTCCCCCCGGGTCACTGATGGCACTACTTTTGTGGTATGCCCACTTTTCTTTCTCATGTGCTTTTTTTCCACTTCATCCATTTTTGTAGGTTCTACCCCTTGAGAACAAAATGAAGAACTCAAAGAAGTTTCCACTTATCCTGTATTTGGGGATGACCATTGTCACTGTACTCTATATCAGCCTGGGAAGCCTGGGGTACCTGCAATTTGGAGCTACTATTAAGGGCAGCATTACACTCAACCTGCCTAACTGCTGGTATGTGTGGGGAGGGGCAGGAGGAGATTGTAAACTTCCAGAAGGTGATAGGTCAGAATGTTGCTTTTCCTTGTCACTTGGCTACCCTGAGCTTGTGTTTCCTACAGCAGTTTTTACTGAATTCATGTGTGAATCATCTATTTGTTAAGGTGTTTCTCCTGGGAAATACTGAGCCCAGGAGGCCTGAGTATCCGCTCTGTACCTAAAGTCATTTGGCACCTGTGGAGGAGAGCAGGCCTGGCTGGGCAGTCACAGACGTGCACTGCAGACATCTCACTGTGGACTGCTGGCTCTTGGGAGTCCTTCCTCAAGTGTCTCCCAGGTGGACATGCTATAGGGAATGCTGAGACCTGCAGAAGTGCCAGGATGTCCCAGAGCATGCGCTAAGCCATCCCTGCTTGGAGGTTGAAAACTTCGTTGTAGAGAGCACCTGTTTTACTTACAGTGCGAGACAGCCAGGGTCCGAGAGCAGTCTTTCCATCCAGCCTGTTTCATGGCACTCTGAGTGGTGAGACTTTGGGTGGGGACAAATAGAGAAAATGCTGGCTCAGTGGGTCAGTGTATAGCACAGGATCCCTAGCCAGCAGGCATCTGAGGACTAAGGTCACTGCACTTCCAACCAAGTGGGCTGCTCTTCAGAGTGATTTTAGTCCTTCCCTCTGGACTGTTATGAATGTGCCTTCAAATGCTGGCTGGAGCTGTGTCCCTGTCCCCAAGGACTGACTAGCTCAGGAACACCTAACACAGCCAGTCTATACCATCTGACCCCAGTGAGATGCTGTCTTCCCCGCAGATGTCCGACTCATCTGCACTCAGCTCACCCCCATGCTTCTGTACAGGTGCATTTATGTGGATGTCTCTCCAGGGGATGCTCCTAACTCCAGATTCAGCAGCTCCCTGGCAGGCTCAGGGTCTTAACTCAGAGCACCACCAGATATCTGAGTTGTTTCCCGTCCCCCAAAGAGTTTTCTTGTCTATACTTAGCAAATGAGACTTTTTACCCACACCGGTCTTTTCTAGAATGTTCTTACAGCTTAAGAACCTCATGTAGGTGTTTAGTTCAACTACAGCGATGTGTGTTCTCATTACACACATATGCAATTTAAGTCAATCCCAAGAGTGGCCAGTGGCTCTCGCTGCCATGTGCACAGGTCTTGATGAAAGTGGAGCTCTGCGAAGACAGAGTGGCCCTTCCTGTGTGTGCTGAGTCAGGTTAGAAAGCACTGTGCTCCGGGGTGGCAACTTGAGTACCCCATGGCATGTCAGTGGCATGTCAGGGAGTTTCAGAGATCACGGTAAAAGGCATCCTGTTGGGATAGGGAGGGGCCTGTGTTCCTTTCCAGTGCCCCCACAACCTGATTCTAAGATGCCCTGAATTGCATGGGGGGAGGAGAATAGGCTTGTTGGAGTCTAATAGTTAATTTTGAAAGGTGTTTGCTCCTGTGCATAGGGCAAAGATTCTAGATTTGCAGGAATACAGAGAACATTTTACTGCACCATGGGGACACAGTCATTCTGTGTCAGTCTGAGGTGTGTGTGTGTGGGGGGGCTTCTTTCTTTTTTCTTTTGCTTTGTTTTATTTGATTTTTATTTCTTCTTCCTCTTCTTCTTCCTCCTCTTCTTCCTCCTCTTCCCTCCTCCTCCTGCCCAGTCTGAAACTCATTATGTAGCAGAGGATGGCCTTGAATTCTTGATCCTCCTGCTTTGTTCTCCAGAGCGCTAGGGTTGTGATGTACCTGGCTTGCCTCCTCATTTTGAAGAGCTATGTGGGGTCACTGTGACTTGTTTAGCCAGTTATCTGTGAATTAACATTTTATTTTTGTAGTCTTTGCTTACACAAAAGCTACGGAGGACTGTTTTTTAAAATTTATTTGCATTTAGTGTGTATGTGAGGGGGTGAGGACAGGAGCGGAGAGAGAAAGCAGGCCTAACACTTTAGAGGCTGGGGGCCATGTGGGTTGTCTCCAGGGTGCAGTGTGGCTCTGTCCAGGGTTCCTGAAAGCACCCACTCTCTGCAGGTTGTACCAGTCTGTGAAGCTGCTGTACTCCATAGGCATCTTTTTCACGTACCCTCTCCAGTTCTACGTTGCAGCTGAGATCATCATTCCAATCATTGTGTCCCGTGTGCCTGAGCATTATATGCTAATGGTGGACCTTTGTGTGCGCACTGCTATGGCCTGCATAACATGTGAGTAGAAGAGATTATTTCTGCTTTTATTTAGAGCAGTGTTTCTCAACCTGTGGGTCATGACCCGCACAGGGGTCACATATTGGATACCCTAAATATCAGATGTTTACATTATGATTCATAGCAATAGCAACATTACAGCTAGGAAGTAGCAACAAAATAATTTTATGGTTGGGGTCGCCACAACATGAAGAACTGTATTAAAGGGTCACAACATTAGGAAGGTTGAGAACCACTGGCTTAAAGCCTAGAGGATATCTGAATTGTTTCCATTGAGAGCCTGGCACACAGCCATACTGCTGGAGTTGAAGGCCTGAAGAATTGGTTCTCAGTGACCCCAAGAACTCAGAAGTGAGGACAGTAGTTTATAGATGAGGTCTAAAGTACAACAGAGAACTAAGACACGCTGTTATTGTCCCAATCTAAATGGAAGCAATCTAAAAGCCACTTCAGAGGGCTGGGGATGTAGCTTAGTGTGCAGTGTGCTTATAGAGCATACATGAAGTCCTGGGGTTCCATCCTCACTCAGCACCGCATCAGCTGGGTGGGGTGCATATACCTGCAAGCCCAGCACTGGGGAAATAGAGGTAGGAGGATCAGGGGTTGGAGGTCAGCCTGGGATGTATGAGACCCTGTTTCAATAGATGATAGATAGACAGACAGACAGACAGCTAGGTAGATAGATGACAGATAAATGGATAGACAGCTGGCTGGCTGATCAGATGAATGGATAGATGGATAATTAGATAAAAAGGTGGATGGAGGATTGATGGGTGGATGAATTGGTGGTTGGATAGATGGATAGCCACTTCAATCACATCCATAGTGATAACTGGAAAATTTAATAGAAGGCACTGTTACTATTCTATCTAAAATAGGTAAATATCTAAAAGGCGTTGCAGAGGTCTGGGTCATAGGTCATTTGGTGGAGTGTTTGCCTAGCGCACATGAAGCCCTGGGTTCATCCCCAGAACCACATACACTGGGTATGGTGGTACACACCAAAATTTCTGCACAAGGATGTTAAGGCAGGAGGGTTAAGAGTTCAAAGCTACCCTGGGATACACAAGCCCTTGTCTCTTTCAGTTGACCAATAGCTAGCCACTTTACCTTGTCTGTAATGGGGACTCATTAGTTTGATAGAAGGTATGTGTTTGTTGTTTTAAGAAGCTGTCCATCTTGAGCTGGGGAGATAATCCTAAGTATTTTTGGTCTGTTCATCTTTAAACATCATCGATTAACCTGGCTGTTTACTTCTGGTTTTTTGTTTTGTTTTTGTTTTTTTAAATTCCCCTTTCCTCTATCCTAAGCCAAGGGGTATGAGTTAAACATTAAAATCAGAAGATCGCCTTATGTTCTGTTTGTTGAAAGAGAGATCAATTTTTAAAAATTAACTTTTCCTCGTTGCCTCTGTGAGTTAAACCAGGGAATCCCTAACCAACTGGTCCCTAATTTCTGATTTGGGTTTCCAGGAGATTAGCAGTTTTCCAAATTAGGCTTTTGTGTTAGTTTTGTTGTTTTGGGGTAAGCACTTCATTGCTTATTATATTAAGACTTCCCTGAAATATCCTTAACTTATTTAATCCTAGCCTGCACTTTTGGAATTAAGATGGGTTTATATGATTTTTCTCCCCCCTCTGAAGCATCCATATGTATATACTATATATATATATATATATATATATATTTGTAAATTGAACTGGAGTAGAATGTTTTCTTGTTTTACTTACTATTATATGCATGCATGATGGCAGGATCCATGTAGAGGTCAGAGGACAACTTACAGTGTTAAATGACCTAGAATCTCTGATCTTACTGCCTCAACCTCCCAGGTGCTGGGTTTACAGGAGGGACCCACCACACTTGGCTCATCATTGTTTCCCTGGGAGAACAGTGGGTAGAAGGTCAACCTTCTTGACATCTATGTAGAAAGAACTCTCTAGAACTAAGGAGGTGACCTTGATCCTCTCACTTAACCTTGAGCAACTCTCCTAAGGATTTCTTATAACCCGAGTCTGGTCATCATGGATCCCCCAGCCCCTTGGAGAGCTCATAGCACTGAAAAGTCTGGCTTTTCCTTCTGCTCTCTGGCAGACTCCGGCCCCTCTCCTGGTGAGACAGATAAGCTAAGGAGGTTCTGGAGCAGCCACACAGGCTGAATTTTGATCTCACCCTCTGCAGTACCTCCTGATGTCCTCCAAGGATGGATTAGCTTACGTGTTGAGGAGACTGCTTCTGTGTGCATAGTCGTTTGTCTCATCAGCTCTGAGGGCCTGCTTCTTGAACCTAAAGGGTTTTGCAAGACAGGATTTGAAGCATTCAAATAACTTGCCTTCCCAATATGGACCCTACAGAAAAAGTAGGTCTGACTCTGCAGAATGTCCCAAAGCATAGGACCTGCTTCCCAACAGGCTTGTTCCTACCCCATCCTGCAGGAAATGGCAATCCCTGGCTCCAGATCTTAGTCTTAGATTCTCTCTGTTTTTCTGCTTTGCTTTTCCTGGCTCACTCTGGGCTTCACTCTCCTTTGTTCTGAAGGACACTCACAGGGCTGGGCTGTGTTTGATCTCTGAGAGCATATTCTGCCCTCCCATCTCCTGTGATCTGTTCTGGCTCATTGTCCTATGAAAGAGGCAGCCCCTTCATCTCTGCCAGTTCCATAGCTTTTCCTGGCTTCTCTGGAGACTTTGAAGTAATTGTGGGAGGCAGAGGAGGCCTCTTGGTAGCACCAACTCAAATGTACTTGTGTGGGTTCATTTTGTTCATCTCGGTTTATCCAATTCTTGAGGCAAAGTTGATTGGTGTGTCACTTTCCATTTTATGTGACTGTTTTCAATTATGCCTGCACACTTTATTGGTATCCTGTTTGTTTGTTTGTTTGTTTTTTGCTGTCTCTAATGTTTTATTTATATTTTCTCCCTTTCCTCAACTTACATCAAGAAAAATAGGGAGATTTCATCCCAACCTCTTACTTTATCTTAATTGTATGTGCATGGATGTTTTACCACTTATGTGCCTGGTGCCTGGAACTGGAGTTATGAACACCATGGAAATCAAACCCAGGTCCTCTGGAATAGTGGCCAGTGCTCTTAACCACTGAGTCCTCTCTTCAGTGTCCAGTCTTCTTCTTTTGAAGGATTTTATTTTTAAGGTGCAGTGCCCACAAGAGTCAGAAGGGAACATTGGGCTTCCTAGATCTGGATCTGGAGTTATAGGCAGTTGTGAGCTGCCTGATGTGGGGGGTGGGAGTTGAACTTGGGTCCCCTGCAAGAGCAGTAAGTACTCTTAACTGCTGAACTACCTTTCCAGCCTCTCTAGCATCATATGTTTTGTTTTTTGAGACAGGGTTTCTCTGTGTAGTCCTAGCTGTCCTGGAACTCACTCTGTAGACCAGGCTGGCCTCAAACTCAGAGATTCACCTGACTCTGCCTCCTGAGCACTGGGATTAAAGGTGTGTGACACAACTGCTGGTTACTTTGATTTTTTTTTAAGTTTCATTTCACTGTAGAGATCTCTCTCTCTTGGCTCTCACTTAGTTAGGTTATTCCAAGGTTATTTATTTATTTATTTGGCGCTTAAGCACTCCCAAGTTCTTGATGTCAGTGACCCCCTTTGGTCACTGTTTGGTAGTTGAGGAGCATAAGAAGTAACCATATGGTGCTGGGGCTGAGATGAGACTGGGCACTCCACGAGCCTATACCCCTAGCCACCCTCCTGCCACCCTCCCCGGGTTCAACCCCAACTGCTGCCTTGCTTATGTTTCCACCCTGGGCCGACACAGGCAGAGAGAGACTCAGACCCCGGGGCCCCGAGAGGGCAAGCAGTTCAGTCCAGGGTTCGGTGCAGCGGCTCCTGCGGTGCCCCGTGCTGGGAGCAGTCTCCTGTGCACCCCTCCCGCTCTCATCCACTGCCAGGCTCACGGGATGTCACCAACCGTCTCTGAAGCCCAGTTTTTGCTTGCAGGACCAGTTCAAAATCTACACTGTGCACTGTCTAAAGACTGACATGACTGGTTGATGTGGTGGGCAATTTTCAGGCAGAACCACTCCCTCATCCCTGGCATCAAAGTACTACATGAAATTATCATGGGTCTTATCATGGTGTCTTCTGGAAGAGGAAGTATTGGGAATGTATATTCCTTTCTCTTTGGCACTTGAAGACTGATATATTTGTGACTCCATAGGTGTAAGGAAGTGAGTGGTTCCTCAGGAAGGCCCACCCACTGTTCTCCACCCCCACCGTCCCCTTTGGGAGAGACTCAATAGAAGACCAGCTGGGAGAGCAGTACACAACTATAATCCCAGTGTTGGGGGGCTGAGGCAGGAAGATCTCCAGTTCAGTGGCAGCCTAGCATACATACTAAGGCAATTATGACAGTGCTGTTACAAGCCAGGAGCCCATAGTAATTCTCCATCTCTGATCACATATTTCCCAGAGATTGGACTAAATAGTATCTTGATTTCCTTCATTGTATGTATTCCAAATATGGTTTCAGGCTGAATTTTCTGGACAGTGAGCATAGTCTTAGGCATTCTTGACCAAAGATGTCTCCTCTCTCTACAGGTGTCCTGGCCGTCCTCATCCCACGCCTGGACCTGGTCCTCTCCCTGGTGGGCTCTGTGAGCAGCAGCGCCCTGGCCCTCATCATCCCGCCCCTGCTGGAGGTGGCCACCTTCTATGGGGAGGGCTTGAGCCCTCTGGCCATCATCAAGGATGCCCTCATCAGCATCATAGGCTTCCTGGGCTTCGTGGTGGGGACCTACGAGTCTCTGTGTGAGCTGATCCAGCCAAAGCATGTAGACACCTCTACCAATTCCACCAGTGCCTTCATATAAGGATCTGGGTGTGTTCCCTGCACCTGCCCAGCCCTACCCTTGTGTGTCTCCCCGTAGTGTCCCCACAGCCTCAGGTATGGCTCAGCCTCTGGGGAAAGGCTGGGTTGCTGCCTGGATACTCCTCCACCTAGCATTGAGCTCTTGGGTACCCTGGGCTAGGTGAGACTGAGTCAGGGGGCAGAGTAGGGAGCAGACACTCCACTTGTGATGGTGCAGTCACTGCTTTCCTTCATCATGCCCCACCCCCATCCTCGGCACTGGCCTCCCTCACCTGACCTGCCACACCTAAGCTATTCCCATCACACAGCTCACTTTATTTACAAGGGAGCATCCTGCTCCAGGCCTTTCCCCCTTTCCAGGGCCAGGGCTAGATTAAATAAGTAGGGACTCTGACGTTTTACAAAACCAGGCCTCTTACTCATCGGACTCCCAAATGCCGTACCTCACTCTCCCAGCCAGCTGAGTCCTGAGAGGCTTCTGGACCTCCCAACCCACAGGCCACACCACCTCTTCTCTCATTTCCTCTGGCAGGCCATGATGCTGCCCTCCTAATTCCTTTAGCTCTTAAAGATAATGAGATGCTGCCCAGATTGGAGGTATTTATAATTTATTTAAGCTGAGGTTTTGGAATCTGACTTCAGACATGGCACCATGGTGGATTACTTCTCCTTCAGCAGCTTGTACATGGCTTCTCCTGCCACACAGAAACCTGCTCCAGGGGACCATGGTATATGTCCTCCACCCTCTTGGCCAGGTGGCCTAGAGGCCATTCTTTTTGTTTCTGTTTTTTTTTTTTTTGAGACAGGGTCTCATGTCACCAAAGTTGGCTTTGAACTTGCTATGTCAAAGGTGACCTCCTGCCTCTGCCTCAGGTATTGAGATTACTAGCATGAGCTGCCACACACAGATGGCTCAGAGACCTTAAGCAGATCATGTGAGCATGCGCCCCCTCTAGGAGATCCATGCATGTGTGGACTTACATTTATGAGACTGCATCCATATGGGCATTCGGAAGTACTTGTGGTGTGCTGGCTGAGGACAGGGGCGTGGGTTCTGACATAGACACTACGCACAAGGGTCATTGTTTACAGTTCCTGGGGAGAGAGCAGAAGCCCTGCCTTGCCCCAGGCTGCCTCTGTATCCTGGGCTTCCAAGGAACCACTAAACACTAACTGTGACCTATATGCATCCTGCATAATGCCTCCCGTAGAGTCACATGGCTTCTAGATCAGTCACCTCAGGGTGGGCCTTTGAGGCAGCTAAGAAAGTCTGTGGCTTGCCACTAATCTCCTGTTGGTGCAAGAAGGATTTTCAAAGGGCAGTCATTAGCTCCCCATCCCTGAGTTGTGTGTGTGACTGCACACATATGTGTGCATACACATGTACATACATGACAGAGTGGTTCATGTGTAGCTCTTACCTAGAGATAGGATTTGCCTTGAACCTTGGTTTAGAGAAAGGAGCAAGAATTTAACAGGGTCTTGCTTTTGTGTTTGACAGAAGCTAGAAGGGCTGCGGCCCAACCTTGCAGCCAAGCCCTTTCCTGCTGCTCTGTCCAGAGTCTGCTGAATGACCTCCAGGTCACAGGATCGGAAGGGTGGCCTCTTGTTCAAGCAGTGATGCTTGGAGGAGGCACTGCTGTCTTTCAGCTCCTTAGCCCCTAGGAGAGCAGTGCTTTTTACCCTTTCTGCTCATTCGTGTGTCCATGGGTGCTCATGTGGTCAGGTGCCAGCCACTGGACTTCACAGATGTTGCTTTTTGAAGTCTCCAGCTGGAAAATGCCCAGAGTAGGTTCAGACGCTGACCTGCTATTTCTGGGCTTGGGTTCCAGCATCCCAGGTGTGGGCCAGGCTCTCTCCTAGAGGCCACCTGAGCATGGCTTCAGGACACTGTATTCAGAACCGTTAGAGGCACCCCTATCCAGGTGACTTTGGAAGTCAAGACCCAACGCACAAGGCCAGCAGTCATTTCAGGGCCCCTGGCCTGAGATCGTGTGAAGTGCCTTGTTTAGCGTCAGGCTAGTGGCAGCTTCCTTGGTGTGACCTCTTGCTGTTCTCCCAAGGCACTGGCAGTTTGGTGGCTTGACTCTTTCAGGAAGATCAGGGCCTTTCTGGATGGACTTCGGGTAGCTGCTAAGCCAGTAGTTCCAGGTGGGAGAGGAGGCAGGTCCTCTGCTGCACACAGCCCAGGGCTCACAGGAGCCTTCAGTCAGGGTCCTCATGCCTTCTCCTGCTGTCAGTTGGGAGCCAGCTGGTGAGAAAACACTCAGAACAACAGGAAGGCTTTGTGAAGAAGAAGCCTGCATCCAGATGCCCCAAGGGCAGACAGGCTGCCTGGTCCTTGCCAGCCTGGTGCTTGCCTGTACCGGCAGTTCAGAGACCCGTTATCCCAGACTGGAATGTGAGTACTTGCTGGGAAGATGTATGTGATCCAGCCTGTGCAGCTCACCCTGCCCTCGCTAGTGGCATCATTTGTAATGTGCTGCTGTCTGGGTCAGGAGAGGGATGGATTAGTTTAGCCCCACCCACCTCACCTCCTTAGCCACCCCAACAGGAAGGTGCTCACCTTTGGAAGTCATGGGTTAAGTGTTATCAGTGGTCTCAAGGCAGATCCCAGAGCTTGTCCTTAGTCTCTTTCATCCTCAGATGTGTCATGTCTTTGGACACTACTGTTTCACCTGATCCTCCCAGGAGGTATGGAGCTTTGATCATGTTTACAGCATTCTCTGTCCTCTGTGTACATCGAGGGCGCTGGATATGCTTTCTCTGCTGACCAGCCCCAGCCACCACTCCCATTGGGACACTGAGACTTGCTTGAGACCTGATACGGGAACCAGACAGAGTGGAGGGACTTGGCAGTCAGGATGGTGGCGCCAAGTCAACTTTAGAATTTCATTTTCTAAAGTACATTACAAATCAGAGGCCATTAGGGGAAAGCAAGCCGTCTGGCTCGCCTTTGAAACTGTGGTCAATACTTGAAGGCACTTTAGTCCTGCTGGTCACGACATCTTCCACCCGATGGGTTTCTTCCTTTTCTGTGTATCCTGAGTCATTCCTAGTCAAGGACATTAAACTGTGCTCATAGGCGGTTATCAGAAGAAAGAAGAGGACAATGAGGTTGAAAGGGGCAGGGTGTTTGCCCTGTTCTTTGATTTAAATCAAGGTGATGTTGAAGAAACTGCTTTCTTTCTCTTTTTTTTAATGGAAAATAGAATTCCATGTCTGTGTTGTAAACTGTCAGTGGATGTGCGAATCAAGGAATGAGAGAGCTGCCGTGCAGAGTCTGGAGAGCCAGACCGTACTGTCACGTGCCTCCTCCGATGTGATTTCAGTAGGGTGAGCGTACACATGTGGGCCATGTCAGAACGTCTAGGTCTCAGTTGGGTTGAACACATGGCTCTTGTGTTAAATTTCCACTTCAATAAATGAATTTTATTTTTTATTTGAGAGCTTGTAATCTGTGTCTTTGTTTTCACACTTCAAAAAAAGAAAAGCACTCAGGATAAGACAGTCTACTGAAGGGAGAGGGGGTCTGAGATTGTTCTGTTAAACAATCCTGCTTCCCTAAAGCACCTCAGCATTCCCCTGAAATCCTGGGTAGACATTTCCAGTGCCTTCTGCATGTACCCGTGGGTAGTTTCAGGTGTCAGCTTGTTTTTGAGTCAAATAATGAGAGCCTAGGTGTTTTCAAATGTAAACATCTGTAGCAGTTGACTAAGTACAGATTACCCTAGCTGGTGTGGGCAGCCTTGTCTCTTCTGAAAGCTCTTGAACTGTGACTTTCCTGAGAAGCAATTCTGTCTCCACCACGGTGCCAGCTTCTGACTTCCACGCTTGACTGAGGCCAGCCTGCCCTGGAAATTTAATTCCTGTCAGAGGCGCAGCCAGGCCAGCTCTCTGAAATCTGTTTTTATCTATACACATGAAGAGTTTGCTTACGCTAACTGAGGTGGCTACTGTTGTTCTTTTGTTTTAAGATTACCGCGGCGAGATGGAACACGAGATGCGAGAGATACATTAACCACAGAGTTTATTACAGGGCGGGAGGGGGAGAGGGGGAGAGAGACGAAGAGAGTAAGAGAAGAGAGAGGAGAAGAGAGAGAGTGGGGGGTAAGAGCAGAGCAAGAGAAGAGAGCAAAGAGCAAGAAGGCGTAAGTGGGTAGGGGTCTGTCTTTTAAAGGGGTCCTTCGCACCTGCGTGCAGACTTGCTCTCACGGAACCCTGGGCCGACCAGAGTGCTGCCTGAATTCATTCTGCCAGGCATCAGGTCCAAGCCTGGTAATGCCTGAGTCTTTCAGCTACTAATTCACCATTGCATCTGTGCCCACATATACTGAGCCAACCCAAAGGCCCGGAGACAGTCTTTACAGGCCTCCAGCTGGCACAGGGAACTGCAACACATTGGTTTTGGTGCCAGAATTCAAGCATTTCTCAAGGTACTGTCTCTTTTCTTTGCTTACAGCCTAAGGTGAGGTGGGGTGAGGGGTAGGAGTGTTGTTAGGGATTGTTGTGAGGGTAATGGGAATATAAAAACGTGAAAGGTTTAGAAAATATTTCTGAAAATATTAATTTACGTGTCCACATCATGGTGTCACTCATGCCTAACGGTTGTAATCGCACTCCCAGATCTCCAAGTCCCTCAAGGTAAGCCCGTTGCTCTGATAGAGACATATATCTGGGTGACAGTGGACTGACCCTGGTTTTCTAGGTAGGCAGCTTTGTAGATGTGCTTGGAGACCGGGAACCTTGGATGGTGTATTTTCCTACACTATGACTATTATTAGTCTCCCTTACCTTTCTGAAAAAAAAAAAGTGGATTCTAATCTACATTTAGAAAAATTTGCCTGTTTTTCAGTGTACAACTTGATGAGTCTCAATAAAAATGTAGAACATTGCCTTGGTCTTAAGTGTTTATTTGTTTGTTGTGTGTATGGTGTGTGTGTGTGTGTGTGTGTGTGTGTGTGTGTGTGTGTGTGTGTGTGTGTGCACACCTAGGTGTTGGGCATCCTGTTTACTCCCTGGAGACAGGATTTCTCACTGAACCTGGAGCCAGACCCAGGGTTCCTCATGTCTCTTGCCCCTATGATGCTGGGGTTAAAAGCTTGTACATGGCTACTTCTGGTTTTTATGTGGGTTCTGGGGATCTGAACTCAGGTCCTCATGCTTGTGCAGCAGGCATTCTTGCCCCCTGAGCCCTTCCCCCAGGTCCAGCATCTTGTAATGCCCCCTCCCCATAACAGTCTGCCCTTGACCTTGGAACAAAAGTGTGTGGCTGTGGGAACTACACAGAGACTGCCTTTTCAATGGTAAAGGTAGAATGATGTGCTGTGACTTTTCTTTTTTATGTAAACCGACACTCAACAGTTTTCTATATAGCATCTTATTTAATACTAAGAACCAGTGAAAGAAACTTCTGGCAATATGCCCATTGCAAACAGAACCATTAAGAGATTTAAAAAACCCAAGATCCACATTTTCTAAGTAGCCAGATCTCTCACCCCACCCCGTCTCCTGCTTCTATCCGTTCTCATCCGCTCTCCTTCAGTGTGCATAGAGAAGCCCCCACCCCCCAGATCTTCTGGGTACCTAGGCCACCCACACCGTGCTCTGATCCTGGTCTTATCTGTTCACTCACCATTGACATCTATGAGATCACCCCTGCTGTCTGCATTCTTAGTCCCTAGGCTCCATATTGCTTGCTCCTGACCTAACTGGCTGCCCTTGTCTGTGTTCAATCTGGGCTTCAACTTTTAGCGCCTAGACCAGATGGCTGCTTGTCTCTGTAATTTTCCCTGGCTAGTTTGGTGGGAACTTGTGGCCCCTTCTTCAGCTATGTGCTGCTATCTGGTTAGTCTTATACTTACCTGTGCTAGGGAGACGTGGCTTCGTCAACCCCTTCACAGTCTGTTGGTACCTTGGCTGCAGATTCAAGCAACTCAACATAGGAAAGACTAGGAAAAATTACACTTTAATTTTGAGCATGTACAGATTTTGTGCTTCCCTCTAGTTTCACCTGCATGAGCTTAGATATGAGAAACAATCTGGAGAGGACTACAGTATGTAGGAAGTCCTGCGTAGGTGCAGACAGACAGCGCACTGTTTTATACAGGGGACTGAAGCTTCCAGAGTTTGGTATCCTTGACAGGCCCTAGAACCAATGCCCTGTGAATAACGAGGGTACCTTGCCCCTTGCTTAGCTCCTAAGATGCTGAGAGCATTGGCTAAGTGAGACTGCCTCCCCTTCTCATTGCACACCCTAGGGGCAAGCATGTTCCTGAATTGGTAGGGGACTCGGTGTAACCTATAGTGAGTGCCGTCATGGACAGGTAAATTGCCTTTGTTATGCTTTTAGTTTCACATTAATCTCACCAAGCATTTTCTCCTTGGCTGGACCTTGGAGGCTTATTGGAGAATTTGAGAAAATATTAGACTTGTCTTTGCTGAGCTGGGTCCCAGAGGACGCTCCTGCATCTCAGGAGGCAGCCTAGGCTGTCAATCAGCAGCACCAAGTCAGCGCCCCAATAAGGTGGCGCCTTGCTAACTCTCCATGTCCGCAGTGACAAAGACTTTTGCACTGAAGCCGCTGTGGGGCCAAGTAGCTTAATGGGAGGATTGGTTCTTAAAGTCAGAGAGCCCCCTGGTGGCCAATCAGGGAAGGTGCCCAAAGGAAGGGAGGAGTTTGGGTCTTTGGGTTGGGAGTGCTTCTCTGCAGACCTTGGAGTAAAGTCCATGGTTTCAGGGTTTCCAAAACACAGTTCTTTTTTATTTGAATAGGAATTTTGCTTGTGTTAGAAGAAAGTAACTGGTGGATGGGATGTAACCCACCTGACTGACAGATGACCTAACACTCTGTCCCCAGTACTGCATAAACGGGGTGTGGTGGTAAAAGTAGGATGACCAGAAGTTCAAGGTCATCTTCAGCTACATAGTAAGTTCAAGGCCAGCCTAAGCTGCATAAGGCCTTGTCTTAAAAAAATTAAAGAAAAATTAAACAACAACTCTTTTTTTTACGTTTAGTTTCTTAAGAATTTCATCATGAGGCGATATTAGATTTTATTAAAGGTATTTTTTTTAAACTGATACTGGTATATCTTTATTTTTTTATTTTCCAGTTTAAATTTAGATAAGAAACGAGGTTGCTTCACAAGTCAGTTCCAGGTCCCTCTCCCATTCCCTCCCCTCCTCCCGTGCCCTCCCCCAACCCCCCCCCGTTATCCCCTCATTCCCCCAGGGAGGGTGAGGCCCTCCATGGGGGGTGTCCATAGTCTGTCATTTCATATAGGGCAGGGCCTAGACCCTTCCCCAAGAGTTCAGGGTGAGAGTGCACCTCACATTGTTCTATGGGAGTCCAAAGTCCATGTGTATACTTGGGATGGGTACTGATCTGCTGCCCAAGGCTCAATAGATTCCCTAGGCCTCTTCACTGACACCCAGATTCAGGGGGACTTGATCAGTCCCATGCTGGATTCCCAGGCTGATGCCTGGGTTTCAAGAGTTAACCTTTGTCTAGTCAGCTGTTTCTGGGGGTTAAACCAGCCCAGTCTTAATCCCTTTGATCACCAGTCCTCCCTCTCTGTTAATGGCTTTTTTTGAGTTCAGCTCAGTACTTAACCAAGGGAGTCTGCCTCTTCTTCGATCAGCCACTAAATGAAGTTTCTGTTTCCCAAACTCTCTGGCCATAGGATTATAGGCTGGCACTCCCCAGATCTATGTCTAAAATCCATATATGAGAGAGTACATGCCATGTTTCTCTTTTTGTGACTGGGTTACCTCACTCAGGATGGTTTCTTCTAGTGTCATCCATTTGCCTGCGAATCTCATGATTCCATTATTTTTTTCTGCTGAATAGTACTCCATTGTGTAGATGTACCACATTTTCTCTATCCACTCTTCGGGTGAGGGACATCTAGGTTGCTTCCAAGTTCTGGCTATTACAAATAAGGCTACTATGAACATAGTGGAGCAGACATCTTTGTTGTATGAATGGGCATCTTTTGGATATATGCCTAAGAGTGGAGTTGCTGGGTCTTGTGGTAGGTTTATTCCCATTTTTCTCAGGAATCTCCATACTGATTTCCAAAGTGACTGAACCAGTTGACACTCCCACCAGCAATGGAGGAGTGTTCCCCTTTCACCACATCCTCTCCAGCATAAATTGTCATTGGTGTTTTTGATTTTAGCCATTCTGACAGGAGTGAGATGGTATCTCAGAGTTGTTTTGATTTGCATTTCCCGGATGGCTAAGGATGTTGAGCACTTTCTCAAGTGCCTCTCAGCCATTTTAGACTCCTCTATTGAAAACTCTCTATTTAATTCTGCAGCCCACTTTTTAATTGGGTCCTTTGCTGTTTTGGAGACTTGCTTCTTGAGTTCTTTGTAAATTTTGGAGATCAACCCTCTGTCAGATGTGGGATTAGTGAATATTTTTTCCCATTCTGTGGGCTGCC